ATTTTTTTTTTTACTTACTTCGTGATACTGGAAAATTGTTTTATTTATTTATTATTATTATTATTATTATTATTATTCAATATCTATTATCTTAATAATAATTTTTCATTTATATTCTCAAATGTGATATTTCATTTGATAATATCATATAAATAGAATATTATTCTCTCTGTTCTTAATCTAAAGGGGGGGGGGAAAAAAATAACAAGAAGAAATAATTTAATATTTCCTTTGTCGTAATCTTTGGTCGAGATGTCGGATCTAAATTAAATGTTATACGAAATTAAAGAGCATAGACGCAAATGTCGCGTTTCGTGAGATATATCTTGCAAAAGAATTAAATACAGTTAGAGAACGTAAGCGTAGATGAGAGAAAGAGGGAGACAGACAGAGAGATAAATAGATAGATAGATAGAGAGAGAGAGAGAGAGAGAGAGAGAGAGAGAGAGAAGATAATAATACGGCTCAGATACACGTAGGTACCTACCTGACGCACGCTTCGCCAGCGAATTCCCCTGATCATATATAGTCGAAGGCATTCTGCCGTAGCAATTATCCACGGAACGAGGAGTCGAGTAGCAATATCTGGAGCCGTTATCCAGTTCGGTTATCCCGACTGGAATGCTTTGTGTCGCCGCCCGACGATCCGCATTTCCATTTGCGCGAACGCTCGTCTATGACGTTCGTTCGTTCATTCGTTCGTTCATTCGTTCGTTCGTTTCGTGAAACTGTTCGTTATTTTGAATGAAAAACMCCCTGCCTCTCCGTTGCCGTTCAGCTCAAAACTTTTGATTCGATCGGTGTCAACTCACCGTCAACGATCGACATTTTTCAACGACGACTTCGTTTCTTTTTTTTTTTTGTTTTGTTTTTCGATTCTTTTTATACACAGGTATACATATATCTATATATATATATAATTGCTAACTTATTATCGGTAACCTTGTTAACCCGAAGAGAGATTGAAAAAGCTAAATTATGAATTTTATTTTCCCTTTGAATTTATCTGAAGAGACTTTAGTCGATACGACGATGACGACGACTACGATGAGGACGAGGACGAGGACGAGGACGACGATACGACAATTTGCGAAGGACCATGAATGAGAAAGTAGGAGGAGCACGATTTGCCATAGTAGAGTAAGAGACACCGAGAAACCCTTTACGGATGCATTATTCCTCGAGCGCGTGCAAAATGCTTGCTTTCGAATAAAAGGGGAAAGGGGAGAGAAAGAGAGAGAGAGAGATAGAAACAGAGGCTTTCGGGCTTTGACATTAGCATTCCCGCTTAAGTACAGTCCTACTACTACCTCGAGCAAACGTCTTAGCTGTTAGGTCTTTAGGGCGATAACGTAGTTCCCGCCCTTCGTCATTTCGTCACTCCTTCTTCGTATTCATGACCGTGGTATTCTTGCCTTTACACTGGGAAGGGGGGATCCATCTATCTATCTATCTGTCTATCTATCTATCTATCGTCGCATCCTTTTTTTTTCCTTTACCAATGAATTTGCAATTCGTTCCAAACGAATAATAAAAAAGCGTGTCGTTTAAGTCCGTATACCTACCTACCTACCTACCTACCTACTATATCGGTACTTAATACTTAAACAAATATGTATTTTACCTGCACTTATGATTCTTTTGTTTCTTTTTTCTTTTTCTCTTTCTCTATTACTAACACCATTTCAAAACGATTGGTTACTGATCAAATATTTTATCTAATGAAAATAAATCTTGATTAATATCGTTTATTCAATGTCAATTCGATATAAATCAAATATTATATATATATATATATATATATATACAAATCTTTTCGA